TGTGGCTTCGTGGTAGAGTGCTTGTCTAGCATGCATGAAGCCCTGTGTTCAATTCCTCAGTACCACATAAACAGAAAAATCCAGAAGTGGTTCTGTGGCTCAAGTGGTGAAGTGCTAGCCTTGAGCAAAAGAAGCTCAGGGACAGTACCCAGGTCCTGAGTTCAAGCCCTAAGACTGGCCAAAAAAAAAAAAAAACCCTCAAACACTTAAATGAATGAGAATGATTATGAGTTTGACACTGGGAGGGTCTGCAGGGAAGGTTGCCACAACCTGCAGAGTCTAAAAGCACTCCAATTCTGGAGGGTTTAAAATCACAGTGCTGACCAAATAGAACTTGCAAGCAGGCCAATTTCTGTCACTGGTGTGTTTATCACTCCCCGCTGGGCTTTCTAGAAGATAAGAGTACCAGCTTCAGCTTTGGTATTTTAAAAAATAAATAAAAATCACCAGAAAATTGAATGCCAAGATCCAGCAGAGAATGGGTGGGTTCCTAAACATTCAGTCAGCAACAAGCTGCCGGCGTGGGTCTGCTGTAACCAGTAAGGTAAGGCTGCCTGCTGGCCCTGTGAAAGATGAAAGAGGCTCTGAGAGCCAGCTGAGGGAGGTCAGAAAAGTCAGAGCTCTGACTCTGAGTCAGCTGACACAGAAAGAGCTAATCCTTAGCATCGGGTTTCAAACTGCAAAACCGAGATTTGTGGATAAGAATCTCGGAGAACAAGAGATTCGATGCATAGAACCAGCCACCTAGAAAACATGTTAGAGTTCGGTATTCCTTCTTTCATAATATTCTAAAGAAAGAAATCTGGAGGTTTGTCTCGTTCTCACACTCAGAGTCACCTGGAAAGCCTTTGAATAAGATTATTGGGCCCACCTCCAAGGAGTTGGCCAGAGGCTCTGAATGAAGACCCAAGCATCTGCATTTTATTAGACTTTAAGATAGTCGTCCAAAGATGTCAGGCATCAACAAACCCCAATCTGAGTGAACTATAGCTGTCAAATCAGAGCCTAAATGGTACTACTTAAGTCTCTGGACCCAGTTTAAAGGATCCAACTGGCCTAAGATTGACTATCACATTTCTTTTGTTGATTCACTCAATGAGTATTTAGTGAGAATCTAAAGTCCCTGCCAATATATCTTCAGATATATTGAGGAGATAGATATGAATCCCTCTCTTCCTAGAATTTACATTCTTGTTAGGTTTATTAGAGGGACAGCGATCCTTTTCTTTCTAAAGAGAAACTATTGAGATAAGCCAGAATCTCCAGGGATTGGGATGATTGGTAAATATACTTGCATGTGCCTCCTGAGTGGTGAGTACTCAGGATTTCCCATCCAATGTGTACTTCTAGGAGTGAGGAGCTGTCCATCAGCAAAGCAACTGGAAGTCCTTTCTTGCAGATAGCTATTAAAATATCCAAAACTACTTTTTACCATTTCTGTGCAATCTTCTTATGGTGAAGGAACTGCCTTAAGCCTGCTTTTGAGTGCCTCCTTTTCCTGGCTAACATCCTCCTCCAGATTGCTTTTTACCTTGTATTTTCTTAAAATGCAATTATGAATCTGTGCACTGGTGGTTCACATCTGTAATTCAAACTGCTTAGGAGACTGAGATCTGAGGATGGCAGTTCAAAGCCAGCCCAGGCTAGAGGGCCCGTGAGATTCTTATCTCCAGTTAACCAGAAAAAAGCCACAATGGGGCTGTAGCTCAAGTGGCACAGTGCTCGTGTTGAACAAAAAAGCTAAGGGACAATGCCCAGGACCTAACCAGAGTTAAGCCCTAGTACCAACACACACACACACACACACACACACACACACACAAATTCAATGGTAGGATCCAACCAGTTATACATGTATCGCATTATTAAACACATGGATCAGGCACTGAATTGGGCTCAGGATAGAGTCCATAAAACAGAATAACCACCTTCTCCCCTCTGGGTGTTATCTTTCTGTTAACACCATCTATTGATCTTTCAGCAGATCATAATTTCAAAGGATCTTCATTTTAAAAAAATCACCTTATGCCAGCACTGGTGGCTCATTCCTGTAATCCTACCTGCTCAGGAGACCATGATCTGAGGATCATGATTCAAAGTCCACTGTAAGTGGCACGGTGGCTCAGAGAGAGCTAGCCTTGAGTGCAAAAGCTCAGGGACAGTGCCTAGGCTCTGAACCCAACCAAAAAAAAAAAAAAATCACTTTATTACCTTTTCTTACCTTTATTTATCTAAGTTTACTGCTATCAGCAAATTCTTTTTTGATCCTCTTTTATTTATATGATTGCTTTAATTCCTAAAGGTCTTGTTTTTTTTCTTTTTTTTTTTTTTGGTCCGGTCATGGGGCCTGAACTCTGGGCCTGCGCGCTGTCCCTCAGCTCTTCAGCTCAAGGCTAGCGCTCTACCACTTGAGCCACAGCGCCACTTCCGGCTTTTTTCTTTTTGCTTATGTGGTGCTGAGGAATCGAACCCAGGGCCTCAGGCATGCAAGGCAAGCGCTCTACCACTGAGCCACCTTCCCAGCCCTTGTTTTTTTCTTATTTCTAGTTATATTTTCTTTATAGTTTTTGGTTCTTACCCTCACCTCCTATTTCTCATTATAAATAAGCTTTCTTATATACAAAAGCCTGTGGCTTAGTTTTATTTCAGATAAGTTCAATGTCATCGAGTCTAAAAGTAAGAGACTATTCAGCCTAAGCCCCACCATACACACACATACCTTATACATCATTTCCCCCATGAGGACTTTTGCTCCCTGCACCTTTTCTTTGTATCCTTCACCTAATCTTATGACCTTCTCAGACCTCTCTGTTGGCCTCATCCATTTCCTACGGTGACCTGGGACATGTGTTTCCTGCCACACAGCCAGTCATAAACAATTCCTAGTAGATTTGGGAGTAACTCAGAGAGGAACCGGAAACGCTCTCTAATTTAAACTCCCAAAAGAAACTCGGCTTAGTTGGCAGTGGACACACCCTGTGATTGCTGGCTCAAGCCACAGACCCAGAGTCCCTCTACTGGACTCTGAAAACCACTGCATTTCACTGAGGAAGGAATTAAACTCTTGAATAATTGAGACTAGCCGGGAATATCAGCAGAAAAGAATCAAAGATTCCTACTCTACAAAAGACAAAATTGGACCTAGGTTAAAAATCTTAGCTGAGCACTGATGTGTCATGCCTACATTGCTAGCTATTCCAGACACTGTGATCTGAGGATCACAGTCAAAGCCAGCTCATGCAGATAAATCTGAGAGACTCTTATCTCCAGTTAACCAGCTAAAAGCCAAATGTCAAGGTGTGACTCAGGTGGTAGAGTGTCAGACTTGAGCAAAAAAGCCAAGTGAGAATGTGAAGCCCTATTACTGGTGCACACGGCGCACACACACGCGCACGTGTGCACACACACACACACACACACACACACACACACACAGAGGAATCTTAGACTTTGCATCAAAAATTTTAAAAAAATCTAGCTAGGCCTGGTAGCTCACACCTATAGTCCTAGCTGGGATTTGAGGATCTCAGTTCAAAGCCAGCCTGGGCAGGATAAGTGTGGACTCTTTTATCTCCAACAAACTACTTAGAAAAGGCCAGAAGTAGTGCTGTGGCTCAAGTAGTAAAGCGCTAGCCTTAAGCAAAAGAATCTTAGGGAACTGTACTCAGGCCCTGAGTTCAAGCCTCAGGACCAGCACAAAAAAAATTTTTTAATCTCAGATGTGAAAATAATCTCCTAGACCTTCCAAATCCCACCATATTGTAATTCAGGTGAAGAAATTGAGACCCAAAGAAAGGATGTATTCAGGTGGAACAGAGACAAAAACCCAGAACTCTATAATTGGATCAACAATTTTCTCTGCTTTGGGGTCTAATTATTTGACCTTACACCACTTCCAGTCCCTCAGCAAGTATCTCAGATCTGGGGGCTCCAGGAAATGAACCATACTGGAAAATATATCCTAGAAACAAAGTCAGATCAACAGATGCCATCTGGGGAATCAGGAATCTAGCCATTTGTTGGTGCCTTTCCTTTTAGGGCTTATTAAAAGAGGATTGGCTCCAAAGGGATAATATGTTCCTATTTTTCCTTCTAAGCCAGACACCTGTCCCGTCAGTGGGGAATGTGCAATATTTGGAACTTCTTAACACGTGACTAGCCACCTGTTGCTCATGCCTTTCCAAACTGGCCTCAAGTTGTGGCTGGCCAACTGGACACCCACTCACAGTAAAATGTGGGCATTAGCAACACAAATATACTACATTTGAAGAGTCTGGAGTCTCTGGGGAATTAGGAGGTCAAGACAACTCTATCAGGCCGAATATACACTGCTTCAGAGCATTTATCTCCCCTCAAATGCAGTAGTTCTGTTAAGTCCTAAGTCTGTCCTAAGTCTGAAGAGAGAGGAGGTCTGGAGTTCACTGTTGTCTGTCATTTTCTTCAACCCCCACGGCCATTCATTCATTCAAGAAATATTTACTCACCACCTGCTATGTTCACTCACCACGGCTCATCACACACATCCATTCACCCCACTAACATGTATGGATCTCCACTAAGGCCAAAGCCTCACACAGACACTGTGGGAGATAGAGCCATGGGTAAAGCCCAGTTCCTGCCTAGAAGGAACTTTTGACATAATAAATCCACAAACTACTAGAACTTAGTTACAGCTGTGTGTATGAAGAGAGACATAGAGTGTGCAATGGAACCAAGAGGAGAGAGAAGTCACTCCCCACTGGCAGGTAAGGAAGTTGGCAGGGGATATCATGTGAGACCTGAACTTTCCTAAGTAGGCAGGATTTGGTGTGTGAGCAGTCAGACTGGCATGCCAATGGTTCTTCAGGCTATAGGGAGATAAGAAATACAAGGATTTCTTCCTGGCTGATGTGTGGGGCACATATATCTCCCAAAGAGGAAAAGGAAGTGGAGATGGGAAAGATTCAAAATGCTGGTGAGACTGAAAGGTCTGAGCTTCTGTTATTTTTCTGGCCCCTTAGGTTCAGAGGTGTGGCACCCCATCTGTAAGCAAGCAGCTCGGGCAGAGAAGAAGCTAAAGGTAAGCAAGCTATGATGATATCAAACCAGAGTCCTATGTGATCAGCTGTACCTACCAGCTGGGGGAGCTGTGCATGAGTAGCTAGTCAGTATCCTTAGTGTACCCACTCCCAAATGTGTGCCTGCTTTCCCTGGGTTCTTTCATGGGAATGCATGCTTGCCTCGGGGGGTTTTGAGAAGTTTTAAGATGTTGGAGGTGAACAGTAGGGCACTGCCTTGTATGTGAAGTGTTAAGTGTGTCCAGGGCAGGTGAGGTTATAATCTCACCAAAGCTGACCAAGATGGCAGTCTTTCTGAGGTGTTCATGCCATGGTCCTTCCTTAGCCTATTAAGATTGTCACCATAATTGACAGCTGACAAAGTTCTTCACAGTCACTGTGTGATTTGATTCCTTCAGTCCCCAGAGGTAGATGGGACAATTTTATCTCCACCTTGCCTGAGAGAAAAACTAAGTCTAAAGAGAATGGTGATTTTCCTGTAGCCGTGCAGCCATGCAGAAACACAGCTGCATCCCCAGACATACACCAGACCAGCTGAGTCCTGGTCCTTCCCTGAACGACTGTACTCTGACAAACACTGGGCAGGCTCGAGAATCTGGGTCCCAGACTCAGTAGAGAGGAGTAAAGCCACCCAGATGTAAAGCAAGGGCCTCCCCTGGGTTCTTTAGATTGTGAAGGGAATCTCTGGGCAGTATGTTGGGTACAGGGAGCAGCACTTGATCTCCAGTGTGCTTGTACATCCTGGTCCCTGACTATCAACTTGGCCCCTTGAGACTTTATTATGTTAGGCTGGTCTCCTCAACTATAAAACCCAAAAGCACGATATCGGTCCAACTATTAAATATGTCTCCTTTGCCATTTCATCCACTTAATGTAAGTCTGATGGAAGAGCTGCACTACAGGTGTGTAATGTTTTATTTTGGGTATCTTTGAGCCATGCATAAATCTTTTTCACCGATTCTTCCAAAGCCTATGCCATTTAAAATATAAAAGGCCCTATCTCCACCTCTTTGGAGGCAATTCCCAAATTTGAGTTATTCTTTAAAGCCCTGATACATTTTTATCTGTCTACCATCTCCCCACAGCATTTTTGTTTTTCTTTTTTCCCCTGCACAGTATTTTCAACTTAATATTTTCCTTTAAATCAACTCACTACTTTTTACTTAACATAAAATGTAATCTTATAATACCAAGCAGAAGTGAGTAAGGCTTGCTGCAAGTAGAAAACAAGCATAAAATTCATGCAACAGCAATGAAATAGTTATTAAGAATTTTTTGCACAAGTCTCAAAATTGGGGTAATTTTTAATGTAAAACTTCATATTGTGAAGTCTTTTTAAACTTATTTTGTATATATGTCCACTAGCCTACAAATATTCTTTGAGAAAGACAAGCAGACAGACAGATCTTCAAAATTATAGTTAATGTTGCCAGTACACTCCTTAGTTTAAAAGTGGGCAGAGGAAAGGAATTAGTAAGGGCAATTAAGGCACCAAATTAAGAGTTCTTTTCTATTTAATCAGGAGGATTGAAATAAAATGTTGAATTTTACTCCTCACTTTATGACTCAGTATCATAGAAAGTTCTACCTATATTCATCTTCCTAGAGCCACCATAAGTTCAGAATCCAAAGTTTGGCCAGGCCAAACTATAAGCTCTAGCCTATACTTCTAGCTATTCAGGAGGCTAAGATCTGAGGATCACAATTGAAGCCAGTTCAGGAAGATAAATCTCCAAGACTCTAAAAAAGCTGGAAGTGAAAGTGTGACTTAAGTGGTATAGTACCAGCCTTGAGTACAAAAGCTAAAGGACAATGCCCAACCCCTGACTACAGGGGAAAAGTCCAAAGTTTGGGAAATTGCTCTGTGGCCCCACTTAGAATGCTTGACATTGTAGGATGAGAAGCCTGAGAGAGAACTGAAAAATCCAATTCATTTTGCACATCAGGAATCCAAGACCTCTCAAGTCACAAATTTCCTAGTGGTCCTCTGGATTCCCAGCCTGCTCACTTTTCCACCACAGCACACTTCATGGAGTTGTTCTGAGACTAGCATCAGACTGTTCCACTGGGAGCTGTTGTTTACTTAAGTTGATGTCAGTTTGCCAAGGGTACATGCAGAGAATCAGCATATTGTGTAATTACAGAAAGTGTCAACTATGTTTGAATAAATACTAAGCAATTTATGCATTTAAAGTAAACATATTATGCAATGGAATAGCCTAAAATAAAAGATCTTATGAGCAACTTCCTATTTACAAATATATTCAAACAAAATTCATATTCTAAGCCAAGTGCTCATGGCTCACACTTGTAATCCTAGCTACTAATGAGGCTGAGATTGTGGTTCAAAGCCAGCCTGGGCAAGAAAGTCTGTGAAACTCTTATTGCTAATAAACCACCAGAAAACCAGAAGTGGCACTGTGATTCAAGGTGGTAGAGCACTAGCATTGAGCAAAAAAGCTCAGGGACAGCAAGTAGGCCTTGAATTTGAGCCTCACAATCAAAAAAAAAGTATTCTGTCCAGCAGCTTGAAGTAAGTTCTGTGCATTTTGGATTAGATTTACACTTGGACCTTAATTTAAAATAATATAAGAAAGCTAACTGGAATTAAATAACTTGAATTTCTCATTGACAGAAATTCAGGGAAAAAAGAATACAATTTGTAGAAATAAATTGACTGAACAATGTAAGGGAATCTTCCTACTTTAGACATTTTCAGGCAAGAAGTATCCATCAAATTCTGACAGAATATTTCAAAAAGATATGTTACATAGCATCAGATGTTTCAAATCACTAGGGTTTTTTTTTAATGTAGAAAGTTTCCATAGAGACAGAGAAAAGAGCCACCTAAATTGACCTATGATAATAACTTGGCATGCTTTACAATGATATTGAAAGCTCAAATAAATGTATGAAATAGTCTCTTTTTAAATCAAGAGAGAAGACAGAAGTAGCCAGAGAGACATTCACAGAAATTCTAATATACCTCCCCCCAAAGAGCTGCCTTCTGCACCTGCCTTCCCCTCCCCCACCGCCCCTAGGGCTCAGCTCCTCACCTCTTCTGTCTTCATCTTTCCCACAGCATAGACGGACGTCTGAGACTTCCATCTCCCCGCCTGGATCCAGCATTGGGTCACCCAACCGAGTCATCTGTGTATGTATCACTTTTCAACCACCACGGGGCTTTTCTTTTTCTTTCTCTTGGTCTAAGGCTGAAAGGACTGCCAGGTGTGCATCAAACTGATGTTTGTGTGTGCCTGTAATGAGCTAGACCCTGTGCCAGCCCTTGAGGAGACAGAGGTACAACAACGACATGAACCCTGTCCTCAAGTGCACGGTCTAGTACACCAATCATTAGAGGGATATTCAGGAGATCCATGGGATACCCAAAAGAAAGGGCAATTGCAGGAGCCCTTGCTGAGTTCTTAAGCCAGGACAAGGTGCCTTCTTTCCCTATTCCTTAACTGAGACGAAATCAAGACAAAACTGGGGATCAGAGTGGTAGTTAGAGTGGCAGAGCACTGATGTGCAGTAATGGTGTGTGATAAAGAAACAGGAAAGAGAAGGAAGCCACACACCACTGCACAAGATGTGCGAACCTGAAGGAGAGCTTTCTGAGTGTGTGAGTAAGCCAGAATGGAGTAGAGCACCTGCAGATGTCTGAGCTCCCGTCTCCAGACTCATTTGCCAGGGATGTATCAGAGGGACAGAGGTGGAACTAGATGACCTCAGAGGTCCTATGTATATATAATGTTCTCATTCATCCCACAAACATGGGTGGGGCATCTACTGTGTGCTGAGGACTGTGCTGGAGAAGTTGCCGTGAACATCCTAGACCTGACACCTCAGCTTGATGCCTTCCTTTGGACACAAAGCCATTACTAATCAGTTGTAGTCACGGTAAGTGCCGAGAAGATGCAGTTTCCTGATGATGCTACTGATGAACAAGAGATCATCTAGGACTGGCTGGAAGAAGGCATCCCAAAGGAAGAAACATTGAAGCTCAAACCAGAGGAGAGAGAGAAGTCCTAAGCCAAAGGAGGTGGGAGTGGCAGGCAGAACCAAAGGAGCACTGACATCAAGGGCAAATAACACTATAATTGAGTGTGCACTCTTCCAGCCTTCTAGAAGTCTAAGGAGCTAAGCAGACCAGAAATATGAGGATGGTTGAGAGCAGGGAACAGAGAAGCTCTAGATACAGTCCTCAAACCTACCAGCCCAGGTTGGGTCCTGACACCATGATTAAGTCATGACTCCTAATCCACACCGATTCCTGTTTGATCCCTGGTTAATGCCCACTGACGGCACTATTTCCTTTCCTTTCTTCCTTCAGTCAGATAAAAAACAGACGTGGGAGTTATTGACTGCAGCTTTACTATGGGCCAATACTGCCATGTGGCTTTCATAGAAAACAAGCCACTTTTTCCTTTCTTTGTTTTGTGGTTCTGTGGATTCAATCCAGAGCTTCATGCACCTCAGGTCACTGAACTGTATTCCCTCATTCCCAGCACAAGACAGGGGACTCTGCTCACAGGCTGAATTTGTTGGAGATCTCCCCCATAAGAGGAGAGAAGACAGAACCCCCCCCCCCCCGCATCACTATAAATTGGACCAGACCACAGCAGGATAAGTGGGCTTAGTGTCAGGCTCAGTTTATAGGTGATTGTGAACATATCTCCAGAAGGGAGTTAGCAGAGTTTGAGCATTCAGGAAGCTGTTGCTTTAGAATGTCATTGTCAGTTTATCACTAACTGCTGCCCTCTGCTACTGAGGAGTCTCATTAACTGGTGAGATGTTAGTCCTGCTGATAACTCATCTGAGAGAACTGGCAGAGCCCACTAGAGTTGCCCCGTATGAGGACAGCTGCATCACAGATGAACAGGAACAACTGGGGACACTTGGGCTCCTGCTTTCCAGCTGTGAAGGATTTGTAAACACTGAGGTCAGTCATGCCCATAGCCCAGTCTTCCCTTCCACGCTCTCCTCTGACAGCTCCCAGTACCTTGTGTACAGAACTCTCAATCACCTTGAGTCACATCACCCTATAGATAGCTCCCAACTGGCAAAAAAAAATCTACTTTGTAGAAACCAAATAACAGCAATGTTGTAATTTTCCTAGACTTATATGTGAGGTTTACTATTAAAACAGAATCACTGATGAACCTGGAATGGGCAGGTTCTTTCAAACTTTCTTTCATTCACATTGACTTCCAACCCCACATGTCTTTTTTCTTTCCTGGACACCACCAATTAGTTATTGTGCCTACAGACCTGAGGTCTTCGTTTATAACAGCAAAAATAAGGTATTCCTTATGAGGTTTAGCGTAGAGTGCCAGGATTCTAACTGTACATTGAGATGAGTTTGTAAGATTCCAAAGCACCATCAAGGTCAAGATTACCATCGAGGACAAAAAGCACCAACTACTACTTCAGCAAGTGGACTCCTTAATAATGTTCCTTTTACTCACATACCCCAAAATTATCTCCAATTAACCACCAGAAAATCAGAAGTGGCTCTGTGGCTCAAGAGGTAGAGTGCTAGCCTTGAGCTAAAGGGCTCAGGGACAGCGCCCAGGCCCACAATTCAAGCTCCATGACCAACCAAAATTAATTAATTAATTAATTTTTTTTTAAAGCTGGAGCAGTGGAAGAAAAGCCACTAGACAGGAGTCAGACCCAACCCATGGCCAGGAAGGAAGACTGTAAGGGAAATTAGTATGTCAGTCTTTACATTTTACTTGGCCTTCAAAAGCCAGCAGAGAACAAGAAAGGTTGTAATTACCCCAGGCCTCAGGACACAGACCTAGTAGATCTAGAGGAAATAGAAAGTAAGCTGTTCAGTGTCCAGAGAGCAATGGGATGGGTGAAGGATATAACAATGAAAGAGCTGTGGGAAGTTTTAAAGTACTCAGGCTCGCATGGTACTTATAAACACTGCCGTCTAAGAAGTGGTTGGATCCTGATACTTTACCAGCGCTCTGACTCTGGGAGAATAAGGATAAGGCAGACTTCTTGGGTTCTGTATCCAGTGGCCTGTGTCTTAATATACTTTACCCCAGACTTTCTAAATGGTGATAGTAACCACAGAGACATTTCCTGGTTGACCATCAAAGGAAGCAGATGACGGAGGAAACAGCTGGGGGACATAAATATGGACAGGACATGGCTTCAGGGACTGAGATGAGTAGCCGCTCCCTGCAAGGGGAAGCTGCTTTCTAATCCCCAGCTTTGGAGTACAGAACTCAAAGAAAGTCAAGTCAACATTCAAGGCTCATTTCTGTTTTCTCTACGGAGTGTCTTGCTGTGTGTATCCCTCTGACAGTGTAAGTTGGTGAACTTTCTGACTGGGCAAGCTAGGGGGAGCCACTGGGAAGGGCAGGCTTTCATGCAGAACTATGTAGGTTCCAGTTCTGGAGTTTGCTACTTAATGGCTGTGTGTGAACTTGGGCAAGTTAATTGATTTCTCTGTGGTTTTGTTTCTTTATTCAAAACAATGGTAATACTATGAAGAGTTGTAAATTGTGTCAATTAAATGAGTTAATCCATATAAGACCTAGAGACAGAGCCTGGTTCATCAGAGGTGCTCACCAAATGCTGGCTGGTGTTTTACTATCATGACTTTTTTTTTTCTTTATGCTCTTGTTCTATATAGAAACTGGGATTTAAATTCCCTTCCTAGGTGGAGTTGGGTGGTAGTGAGCACCCATGATGTGGAGTTTACACTGGATTCAAATCTAATACTAGTTCTGGAACCTTTTGATCTCTATTTTTCTCATCTGCAAAGTAGAATAATATTGATACTTACCTTCACAGAGGCATTATGACATTTAGAAGAAATTGTACCCCCAAAGCAGGGAATCTGAGACACAATATGTGTTCAGTGTCAGCCCTGTTGGAATGGATGACCTCTAAGAGCCAGCTTTTTCTCACAATCTACGACTCTTCCATTCAAGCCTAATACATTGTTTATGATGGGAACTGGGGAAGCTCATTCTCTCTGTACTTTGTTTTTACTTCCTGTCTCCTTTCTCTTTTCCCTCTTATCTTTCTACCTCTTTCCTGTCCCTTTCCCTCTTCCCCAGGCTAAAGTGGATAATGAGATCCTTAATTACAAAGACCTGGCAGCTCTCCCCAAGGTTAAGTCCATCTACGAGGTGCAACGCCCCGACCTCATTTCCTACGAGCCTCATTCCAGATACACGTCCGACGAGATGCTGGAGAGATGTGGCTATGGAGAGGTATCACATCTTGCCCTCTCTGGGGCTGCTGGAAGAGCCAAAGTCTCACGCAGCTCAGCCTCCATAGTGCCTGGCCCCAAAGTCTTCTAAATTGAAATTTATAACCAACATGTAAAATTTAGAAGTTTCATACACACACACACACACACAAATATGGCTTTTTATGAACTGTGAGACCTTGAACTTGTATTTCTACCATCTAGAATGGGTAGCAAAGTCCTGTGGACTGAACTGCCCCTTATCCTTCCCAGTCCCCACTATTTCCTCTTATACCCAACATGGAAGCCAAGAGCCTGCAACTGCTTATCACCTAAGTCATTGTTTTTCTCATAGTGAAGTTCTTGCTTATACTCAGCCCTTGGCTCTTGTCCTCTACCAGGCTCAATAGCTGTTGAACTTCATAATCCCTAGTTAGGCATGCTTTCTTGGTTTTGTGACTGCACGTAAGCTCCCATGCTCAGAACAAAAGACACATTTACAAAGACTCGGCTATTAGATGGTTTTAGAAACATGTGGTAGCTAGACAAGAAGGGAACTTTCTGGCCAAGGCAGGGAAGGAGGCCTCTGCAGGGGAGGTCTTGGCATCTATATTCCAGATTTCTTACCTCATCCCAGAGCTTCTGAGCTGGGATAGTTGGGAGCAGCAGGAGCCGGCCTGTTGGATCTGACTAACCAGTGTCCCTAGTAATCCCCAACTCACTAAAGGGATTTCATTTCATTTGGTTGAAGGCCTAATGCTAAGGGTCTCTGGATTTTGGCCCCCAAACATGACACAGGGGATCAAAGGTTTGGAGAAGCTGATTTTCCTTCTGCATCTAGAAATGGGTAATCAGGATCCATGGGCCCAGAGCCGCCTCCCCTCTCAATCCCTCAACAGATGTTTTGGTTCCTTCACAGAATGGATTTCAAGAATGTAAATTAGCTGTCAACGTGTGAAGCATTAGGAGATTACATTTAAGAATCTACTTCTCTGACTGGTCTTGGGTATTAAGATGCTGGTCAGCATTGGATAGGTTCCAGCCTGCCCTGATCTGCTGTGGCTGAGGGACAGCAGCCCTGTCACCAATCAGCCGCCAGCTTGCTACCCAGCTCCCACACTCAACAGCCCCTCCGAGGGTAGTGACCTGACTCTTGCTCAGCCCTGAATGTGCATCCTCTACCCTGGGCATCCTCTTCATGAACCAGAGGGATGGTGAACCAGGAAAGAGATAGAAGAGAGTTGTAAACATAGCTCTGAGCTCACCTTGGGGAGACTCGAGTTCAAGTCAAGGCTCACCACTTCTTCCTCAGAGGCCCAGCCCGCTCCTGAGCCCTCCTGTTCCCTCTGTGGTTATAAGTTTTCCATATGTAAAGGTGGGGCGTGGTCACAAAGTGTCCAGCCTCTTGTCAGCAGTTCTGACCTTCCTGAATTCTAAGAGAAGCATTGTGAGGGGAAGGGCACCAGGGGCAGCGGCAAGCCCTGCCTTCATTTAACCACACTCTGTGCTTTTCTCTTTGCCCATCTCTCTCCTTTGCTCCTTCCATGGCTGCCTTCAAACTCTCCACTCCTCAGTCGCTGGGAACATTGTCTCCTTACTCCCAGGTAATAAGGCCAATAGAGAAAAGGTGCCAAAGAAGACCCCCTCAACCCCCTCTCCCCAGAGCCCCAAGGAGCCCCATCCCTGCTCCAAGGTGTCCCCCACAACCAGAGAGGGTACACAAAGGGTGGGGATCCTTGGAGATTGCCAGAATGCCCTTCCATCGAAGATAGGGTCTCTCATGTGGTCCCAGGTCAGGATTGTGGGGACTGACTCTAGGTTCAATTTGAGAACCTTAAGGGATGCATGGAGGCCCTGGAAATGCTCTGCCACCCTTCTCCTGTCTATGTATAAATCAGAAAGAGGGGGTGGGTCTCTACTCATTCCTGAGCCTCAAGAACCTCAAATTCCATGGTCTGTGCCCACCCGCCTGCTGGACTCCAGGACCTCAGGTCTAGCTCACATCCCCACTTCTCCTCCTCCTCCCCAGGATATCTACGAGAACCTGGACCTCCGGCAGAGAAGAGCCTCCAGCCCAGGGTACATCGACTCCCCCACCTACAGCCGACAGGGCATGTCCCCCACCTTCTCCCGTTCACCTCACCACTACTACCGTGCAGGTAAGGCAGGTAAACCCCCAAAGAAAGACAAAGAGCTGGGAGCCATGTAAGGATTTGGAGTCACTGGGCTGCAGGGATGGCTCAGGCTGCGCCAGAATTCCCTTGGCAGTATGGACCTTCTGGTCACCCTGGTGACTAGGGTTGGGCCTGACGGAGTCCATAAGATGCCCCAGCAGAGGCAAAGATAGGTAGATGGCACTGAGAAGCAGCAGGAAGGTGGGTGGAAGAGAGGGGAATGGCAATCATCCTGGAAGCCCTGGCTAGAATCAAACTCCTCTCCCTTGTCCTTCAGCCTACCAGTTCACAAGCCAGAAACAGGCCTGGGCCTGGCCTTCACTCAAGGTCCCAGGCCCACCCAGCCAGCCAGGGCATCCACAATCACCCTCCCTGGGGCCCGGTGAAGCAAGTGCTTGGATGGAGGGAAGGGTAGTTTAGGGGAGGCAGCTGGGCCACCTGGGGTGGAGGGGTGAGCCACGGAAGATGGCTTCCTTACGAATCAGAAGATCCGGCATTGGAGAGAAGGAGGGAAGGGGTGGAGCTTGTGTCTGCGGACATGGTGCATGAGAGCACATGCTTCTCCCACTCTGGAGCTGAGCACGCTGGGACGCCCAGCCCACCCCATCCCTGCTGCCATCACCCCACTGCTTCCTTAACAGCCGCTGCGTTAATGCCTGTTTTCTCTATCCCTCTATTCTCTCTGGGGACCACTGCCTGCGTGCTCCAGGGCCCGAGAGTGGCAGGAGCTCTCCATACCATAGCCAATTAGATGTGAGGTCCTCCACTCCAACCTCTTACCAGGCTCCCAAGCACTTTCACATCCCAGGTAGGCACTGACAGCCTGGCATTTCCAGCATGGATGCATGCCCTGGGGGGGGGGGGGGGGGTGCCAGGCATCTGAGCTGCCCTCTCCTTGCTGCACACACACACCAAGGAAGAGCTGGTTCCTGGGGGACCTCCCAAACCAGTCACCTGTGCTCACCCACCCTCCAGCCCCCACACCCCTGAATCTTTAGTCTACCCAATTGACAGAACCAATCTTAGTCAAAACCACAGGAAAGCAGCCCAGAGGGGAAAGTGGCATGGAGTTTAAGATCAAAGGAGCATGATGGGGCAGGGCAATAGGGTCTTGGTGGACACTGCTTGAATCAAAACTCTTGGGCCTGAATCCTAATCCTGCTGCCCATAAGCTGTTGACCCCAGAGCCAGTGTTTTAGTGTTACTGAATCTCACCTGCTCTGCCTGTCTATGAAACCTGAAGTTCAACTGGGATAACTGAGCCTAGAATCCTGCCTTCAGTGCCCATATTTTCTAATGTGGGGAGACAGATGGTACCTGAATAAACAAATGAGTAAAAGGAAAACTGCAAGGGATAGTAGATGCATTGAGAGAGAGAGAGAGACAGAGACAGAGACAGAGAGACAGAGAGGATTTCTTGGAAAAAATGGCATTAAAGCTGAAAGATGAGAATGATCCATCCTTATGAAGACCCCGGGAAAGGTAACCTGGGCAAAGGAAGCACCAAGTGTGATGGAGGTAGTGATTGAAGGTCAGGGAAAACCAGGGATTAGATGACCTTGTAGGACAAGATCTCACCCCTGAGTTATATCAGAGCCAGGTCAGGCTGTCTCCCAAATCCAACCTCAGCTTTTCACTTCCCTCACAAGAGCTTGTCCTGCTGCTTTATCACCCCAGAGGGGTGCTATGCTGTCTAGTTTTGAGGAAGAAGAAGGGGAACAAATCCTGAAACATAGCTGCAACACCCTAGGGACTTTCACTTGGAATTCAGTGTGGCCACTCGGGGGAGCTGTGGACACCTTCCTGCATGGGGATCTGCTGAGCATGCCCCACTGTCTGCCATGCCCACCATTCACCCCACCTTCCTTTCTTGGCACCATTTGTATCCATCCATTCCTCTCCCCTCCTCTCCTCTCCCCCTGCCTTACTTGAAACTTGCTGGGGTAAAGTTGAAAGTTCAACTTTGAAAGAGGAAGTCCACAGGGGAAAGATGGTGACATCTTGGAAAAAGTTGCTGACTGTGTCTCTTTTCCAAGATCAATTGACCAAATGCTGTCCTCTCCTGTCTCTCTTTCTCCTCCCCATTGTCCTTTCCTGTTCCATATGACAGCTGGAGAAAGTAACATCTACCGGAAGCCCCCAATCTACAAACGGCATGGTATGGTCAGAGCCAGGAAGTGGACAAAGAAGGGTGGGGCATTAACTGTCTGTGCCATGGCTCCTGGGCCTCTAAGAGCAGCACAATGCAAGGCCACAACTTCCCTAATCCCTGAGCTGCCCCCCATCCCCGTCACTTATGGTGACTCTGGGGAGGAGTTCAGTGTCTTCGTCTCCTTTATCTGCTCTCCTTGGCTCTCTGCAGGTGATTTGTCCACAGCAACCAAGAGCAAAACAAGTGAAGACATCAGCCAGGCCTCCAAATACAGTCCTGCCTACTCACCAGACCCCTATTATGCTTCCGAGTCTGAGTACTGGACCTACCATGGGTCCCCTAAAGGTAACATTCCCAGGTGTCTGTAGGGAGGGACCATGCCCTATTATCTATGCTGGGGACTCGGGCTGTTGTGAGCATCAGTTACCTTCTCCTTCACACAGTTATTATGAATGAGGATGCTTAGCAGGAGGTATAACTGAAGGTTTCTATTCAATTACCAGCAGGTCTTAATGGCTAACCATAGGCCCTAGAGAGAGAAAAACAGACCAGGTCCTTACCCTGTGGGAGCATGGGCCCCCTCTGTGAGAGGAAGTTGATACTCAAGGGATGGGGGGGGTAAAAGTTTCCCCTTGCAAGTTCTCAGATACCATAGGAAGAAAACAAGGAGGTGGGTTGGCAGAAAATGTAGAAAAGCATCTGCAAATAACTCCGGATGGGAGGGCAGATGGAAAAAAGGAAAGGCTAGTCTCTTAACCTTGACCTTGAAGTGGGAGGGGAGCAAGTAGAGGATGCAGGAGGGAGTTCCATGAGAACTTCCGAAGTTAAGGTGGGGATTTTGCTTATTAAACAATAAGAAGCTATTAAATATAGTCTCAGGATCACAGCTATCCTACTGAAAGACCACTTTGGCTGTAGGGTAGAAAATGGTGTGGAGGATGGAAAGAGAGGCTGAGAGTGGAGGGAAGGTCTCATAAGCACCCTGGTCCTCAGGACACCACCATAGCCCAAGTGTTCCTTTCAAGTCTGAGGAAGAGTTTCTCCGTGATTCACTTTGATTCAGTGATTGGCTTTACTAATTGTCCATTCTGAGCAAAGTTTCATGGTAGCTCAGAAATGACTTCTTCATTGCCTTCGGAGAATTCTCCCTTTAAAGAAAGAAGTAAGACACAGAAAGAACGGTAACTCAAAGTGGACAGGGATCAATAGTCATGGGTGGTAGGTGTTCAAAGGCCACAAAAGCAGGAGAGACCACTGCTCAGTGTGGAATCTTAAATGACACAGTTGCAAGGAAGAGAAAAGGAAAAGAGAGGAGAGGAGAGAAGAAGAGAGGAGAGGGAGGAGAGGAGAGAAGAAGGAAGAGGATGGAAGGAGAGGGGAGGGAAGGAGAGAGGAGGGGAGGGGAATGGGAAGGAGGAAGGAAGGGAAGGGTCCAATGGCTTAAGCCAGAGTAGACTGAGCACAGGAATCACATGCTGGAATTGGTTCCATCTGTCCTTTGGCAGTGCCCCGAGCCAGAAGGTTCTCATCTGGAGGAGAGGAGGATGATTTTGACCACAGCATGCACAAGGTGAGCAGGCCACATCACTAAATAAAATGCTTACAGGACATATTACTAAGGATTTTTTTTTCATTTGCAAGTGACAGAAAGCAAATTCAAACTCACAAAAGAAGAAAATAGAAATGCATAGTTTGCATAATTGAAAAATCAAATTGTAGGACTAGCTTCCAGTAGGACTAGATTTACATGCCACTAAGCATGTGTAACTCTAGCCACTCAGGAGGCTGGGCATTGAGGAGTCAGATTCAATGTGAGCCAGGACAGAAAAGTCTATGAGACTCTTATCCAATTAACCAACAAAACACCCAGAAGTGGAGGTGTGGCTCAAGTGGTAAAGCACCATTCTTGAACAAAACCCAAGGGAGAGTGCTAGGCCCCAAGTTCAAGCCACAGTACTGACACAAACATAGATAAATTGATAAAAAATTAAATGTTTGGAAAAATAGATCCGTATAAAACATCTACAGATCTTTTCATCTGTCACTATTCCCTAAACAATATAGTATATAGTTATCACATAGCATCTCCATTGAATAATGTATGTATTGAATATTATATATAATGTAGCGATGATTTAAAGCTCAAAGGAGCCTGTCATTAGGATATATGCAAACACTACACCATTTATGTAATGGATGATTTGAGTGTCTGAGAATTCTGGCATCTAAGAGGTAGGGAAACAATTCCTGAAACCAACCCCAGAATAATTGTACTTCAAAATGGTTAATTTTATTTTGTTTTTGTTTTTGGGTCCGGTCGTGGGGCCTGAACTCTGGGCCTGGACACTGTCCCTCAGCTCTTCAGCTCAAGGCTAGTGTTCTACCACTTGAGCCACAGAGCCACTTCCAGCTTTTTTTCTTTTTGCTTATGTGGTGCTGAGGAATCGAACCCAGGGCCTCAGGCATGCAAGACAAGTGCTCTACCACTGAGCCACCTTCCCAGCCCCCAAAATGGTTAATTTTAAGTTACATGATTTCCACATCTTTAAAAACAAAGGTGCTGTCTGCCCAGCATTGGGCAGGACAATGTGGTCCTTTTGGTTTTTGCCAGTCCTGTAGCTTGAACTTAGGGCCTGAGCACTGTCCCTGAGCTTCTTTTGCTCAAGACTAGCACTCTACCCCTTGAGCCACAGCGCTACTTTCTCGCTTTTTCTGTTTACATGGTATTGAGGAATCAAACCCAGGGCTTCATGCAGCAAGAACTCTACCACTAAGCCACCTTCCCAGACCTGCCATGCATTTTTGAGCCAAGCGCTTGCGCCTTGCTCAGAACTCAGAACTATTTGTGAAGAGATAAAGTCCCAAATAAAAATATGTGTGCTACCAGCCCAGAAAGGTGCTGAAAAGGCAAAAAGAAAAATAGAAGCTTCTATAGAGGGTCCAGTAGCTTAGCCGTTCCCAAGCCCATCAATCCATCAAAGCCTCGTTTATTTCCCTCTAACTTCCTCTTGCTTCTCCCTACCCCAGCTCCAGAGTGGAATTGGCCGACTGATTCTGAAGGAGGAGATGAAGGCTCGTTCAAGCTCCTATGCAGATCCATGGACTCCTCCCCGGAGCTCCACCAGCAGCCGAGAGGCCCTGCATACCGCTGGCTATGAGATGACCCTCAATGGCTGTAAGCACTGCTTGGGACACTGACACCTATTGGCTGCTCACTTTGGGCCAGTCGCCCTCTGAGACACAGTATAAGTGTCTCTTCTTCCTCCCACCATCCCAGTGCAGTAGGGGCTCTATAGCCTACAGACAGGGACCTAGGGCACAGAAACCTGCCCAGATCAGAGTTTACAGGTGATAGGATGCTCTCCATCACATCTCCTTCCTGAAGAAAAGCCCCATATTCAACCCCTTGGGCTAGCCAAGGAATCAGAAGGGGCACAAAGGTTAGCCTAGACCCTCTCACCTCCCTCCATCTCAGTGGCCCTTCAGGGAAGCTCTCCAGAATTGGGAATACACACTTGTCAAGGGCCTAGATGGAGAACCAAATGGAACCGAACTGCAGTGAGCATTCACTATGCTTCTTGGAGCCATCTGAAGCTGTGAATTCCTGTCAAGTGGCTAGAAAAATATCTTCTGATACTCTTCTCTGAACGGCTCAAAGACACAGAAGCTGTTTCCTGAGGTGCTAAGCCTCCCATCACTTGGAGATGCACATGCAGAGGCCTTGTTCCAACATTTTCCCTTGAGAGTCTCTCACTATAACCTCCTGCATGCTTTGTCTGCCTCTTCCCCTTCTGACCCCTATGGGATTCAATCCTGCCAGGAAATCCCACCTCAAATCAATATTGGATGGACGGTGGACTGTATCATTGATTATACTTCTATGTACCAGGCATTTGTAGATACATTATCGCTCAGGGTCCTCACAAATCCCTGCAATATAAAGATCATTAGCACTCACTTTATAGAGGGAAGATGTAACTTGTCCACAGGCAGAGATTAAGAAAGTGACTAAGCCTGGATCAGACCTGAGTTGAAGGGACCCTACGGCTATGTATGAGCTTTACTGTCTTTTCCTCACAATACCTTGGACTTGGTGAGAATGAAGATGATAGTAGTGGTGGTGGTGATGGAGTCTTTGGAGTGTGTGTATAAACCAGGCCCTGGGCTAAGTGTCTGACTTTATTATGTCATGTGTTTTTCCACAATAGCTCTATAAAGGAGACACTGATTTTTGGTTTTGAGCTGGGTCAGGGAGAAGGGGTTGTGTGCCAGTACTAAGGTTTGAACTAGGGTCAGGGCACTTTTTCTTTAACTTTTTTGCTCAAGGCTGGTGCTTTATCACTTGAGCCACATCTCCACTTCTGGCTTTTTGCTAGTTAATTGGAGATTAGTCTCATAGATGTCCCTGCCTGGACTGACTTCAACTGAAATCCTGAGAACTCAGCCTCCTGAGTACCTAGGATTGCAGGTATGAGCCACTAGCACCCAAAGGGAGACCTTGTTTGACAGATGAGAAAATTGAAGCATCATTAAGCCTGAACTTAGGTATCTACTAGTGGCGGAGGCAGGATGAGCTCATGAGTCAGATTATCCATCTGACCACTGAAGGGCACTGTTTTCCACATCTGGCTCTGCAGTGTGCACCAAGACGGTAGCTGGGAGAAACAACATGTAGCTAGCATGTCCAAGGCTTTGCACTCCATCCCTAAACTGCTGGGGGAAGGAGGATGGGTAGATCAGCTCTGTTAAATTATCTTTAGCTTTGTTTGACAAATATCCCAGAGTACTGGCCCTGCGTCAGGTGCTGGGCTGGAACATGAATAGGAGAGGGAGGATGGAGAGGGGGAAAGGAGATCCTGAAGGAGAGCCCTTCTCCCCACCAGCCTGAGTGACTGAGTGTGGGAACCAAGTCTCTTTGTCCCCGTGAGCTGTCTTCACCATGCTTGTTCATCCCTATGGGCACTGATGTCGGGTTTCTCTCTTGCAGCTCCACGTTCTCACTACCTGGCTGACAGTGGTATGTTCTTCCTGACTCCCCTCCAGCCTGTCACATCCTGTGAGGACAGGGCCACATCACCTGCCATTTTCATAGCTCTCATGTCTCTACGATACCTTCGTGTCGATGTCTCAGCACCGTCCTGATCTCCAATAGTCCATTCCATTGTGTAGTTGTCAGATTGTGGGCCTTCCTTGGGGGTTCTAGAAACACAATGCCCCTTCCACCACTTGAAATTATACCTGTCTGGCTCTGAGCTCCACTTCCATTCCAGAGCCTTTGTCCAGAGCTACCATGTGGTCATAGTTATCTGCCACCTGGGGGGGCCGGGCGGGGATGGATATAAGCCAAGGCCAGAAAAACAAGTGAACAGGTGCCTCTGAGGAGCAAGAATTGTGCCAGGACGAGGATTCCCTAAGATAAATCAAGTTTTAGACCTGGAAGTCATCAGAAAGAGCTGGGGCCTCTCACTCCAGCGCTCTCCCACTAGATTTGAAATATGGTGGCCACTTGTAGGAAGATGGCTTCCAGGGAGAGCAAGCCCTGGTTTGGGGCTCTCGGTAACTGCTCCGACTTCTTCTTTACAGATCCTCTCATCTCCAAATCTGCCTCCCTGCCTGCTTACAGGCGCAACGGGCTGCACCGGGTAAGAACCTTGCTCCCCAACACACACACATAAAAATACTAACAAGTCAACTTAGTGCTCCAACAACTGCTTTGGGTGAAACTTGAGGAAAGGCTTGAGGGCTAGAAATGGTGAACTGGAAGGACCCAATGGCAGTGTCATGGTCCCCTCCCTGTGGCACCTGTGTATAAAGGAACCCTGGCGGAGAGGCTGGGGAATCCTGGCACAAACTGGTCAAGAATTCTGCACCAAGTACTGGCTTTACTGCATTAACTCATGCTATCTTCATAGCTCAGTAGAGGTAGTCACTAATGTGAACCCTATTATGGGGATAGAGTAATCAAAGTGAGATGACTTACCCCCTCGGTGAATGATGCTAGAAACAGGGCTGAAGGTCAGGCCAGCAGTCCACACCCAACTGACATGTACCAATGGCCTTTCACATGGCATACAGTCTCCTGCGCTCTTTGGCATAGAGTTTGTGTATAAACTTTTGTGGAACTATGGATCTGGTTGACAGGCTGAAAGGGAGCAGGGGCATGTCTAACGGTACAGCCTGACCTTTGGCTAACAAGACATTGAGCTAGGTGTTGCCTTACTGCACAACTACTAAGTACCAAGCACTCTTCCCAGTGCAGAGGATCCTGCAGTTGGTGAAATTGCTTTGGTGGAGCTCACATTCTAGTGGGAGAGGGAAAATAAACAAGAAAATGGGATAGGGAGTCAGGAAGTTGGAAATGCTTAGTGTGGAAAACCCCCAGGGGGTGGGGAAGAGAGGTCAAAAAGGGGTGAACTTCCACAAAGGCCTGAGTACAGGGAGACAGCCTTACCTCTCTGAAATCTGCAAGCTCATTGGGATGCAGGGAAGCGGGGGCTCTAAGTTCCTGTACAGAGAAGACACATGTGATCAAGATGGGGGGAGTGGGGACATGAAAACAGACAGGGAGACCAGCAGGGTGCTGCACACTGGGCCAAGACTAAAGACGGTTTTGGTGGTTGCATCCTCTGATTCTACTCTGATGTATAATAGAATGATTCCATCCTTCGTGTAGAATACAGCCTTGGGGGCGGAGGGGTGGGGCAGACACAGAAGCTGTAGATCCATCCTGAGTCCGTCTTGAGATAGAGCCCCACTGGAGAGCAATGGCTGGTGTGCAAACCCTGACCTAGGGAGGAACCTGACCCCTTGTAGACTAAACATCAACTCATGCAGCACATTGGTTGAACATCCACAGGAGACGTCCCACAAAATATCAGTGACAAACACAGAACCCCTGCCCCTTGGAGCTTCTATTCTTATAGGGAAAAACAATATATATATATATATATATATATATATACATATATATATATATGAAATTCGTCTAATTATATAGAATGTTACAAGGTAATACTATGAAAAATATACAAAATCTGTAAGAAGATTGAGGAGGAGGCACCTTGTAATTTTGAATAGAGCTGTCCTAGGAAGCGGGTACCTAAGCAATGAAAGAAAGCAGGAGGTGACATCCATAAATGTGTGTACAGAGTGCCTAGGATGTGCTGGGGATGGATGTAGACAGATGGCAAAGAATTCAATGTCCCTAACTGGAGACAGGCTGCTGAGAGAGCTGCATGCCTCAGCAACCCTGGTCCATACTTTAGAGAGGGGAGAATGCTTCAGAGCCCGATTCAGACCATCCTGGCTCTCTCTCTCCCTTCCCTGCAGACACCCAGCGCAGACCTCTTCCATTATGACAGCATGAATGCAGTCAACTGGGGCATGCGAGGTGAGTGGGCAGGGGAGGAGGGAGGGCTTCAGGGAGAGGGCCCTTCTGGGTTTTCCCCACCCACCCCACCCCAAACTCGGGTGAACTGCTGCTTGACCTCTGGCAAACCATTACTACAAATTCAGTCTCCACCCTGGGTTTTGTCCAAATCCTAAGTGCCCACTCCCATTGCCTTCTGCTTCCTCATTTCCCCTGCTCTTCCCTCATCCCCTCAAGTCCCTGGCTTTGGGTGCTGTCCAGGCCATCTGTCCCATCTGGGTTCCCAGATCATCACAGAGTGCTGATCGCCCTGTACTGCTGAGCTAGAGCTCCTGGCCAACCCCGATGGAGGGAAACACTCTGAGCCAAAGGCACATTGTTCCCAGAAAAATTTCCATGAGCTTCATGTTGTGTGCCATGGAAGCTGTCACGCCAGCCGCTACAGGCTCCCATTAAGAGGCACAGACAGGAGGGGACACAGCATGGATGGAAGCATCACAATGAAACCCCTTACCTACAGTACGCAGAAATCATGTGTGTGCCAATCTTCAGTTGTGTGTGCGTGTGTGTATGTGTGTGTGTGTGCGCGCGCTGATCCCAGTACTTAAACTAAGGGGCCTTGGCACTATGCCTTCAACTTTTCACTCCAGGCTGGAACTCCTACCACTTGAGCCACAGCTCCACTTCTGGCTTTTTGCTGTGGTTAAGATAAGGTTTCACAGATTTTCCCGCTTAGGGTGGCTTTGAACCTCAATCCTCAAATCTCCATCTCCCGAGTAGCTAGGATTATGTACATGGGCCACTGGTGCCTGATTCTTCTCATTTCTAGTCCAAATATCTCAAAAGCTTCTTTTCTCTTCAAACCACCTCAGTATCATCCCAACCCCGATCTGCAGCCCCTGTGGTTCTCATATTAGCCTGGACTGTCCTTTGTGGTGTAGTCAACAGCAGCTGTGTGGAAGTCAGACACAGTAGAGACTAAGACAGAGGGTAGGGTAGTAATGCTACTTAGCATGTGTCTCTTTTCTCTCTGCAGAGTACAAGGTAAAGGACATGTAGACCCTGAGGGGTCTCCAGGATGCTGGGGACCACTGCCTTGGGGACCAGCAAGAGGATGGCAACACTATGCATGCAGAAAAAACATGGAATGAATAGCTTTTCCTGCCCCTCCTTGGCTTACTTCTTCCCCCGAATCCTTTCCTAGGTCTCCAAACAATTCAATCTGACCCTTCCTCTGGCCCCAAAGACTCCAGGGGCTTACTCATCACCAATACTAGATAACTATATTCAAGACACCCGATGCCCACATTTGTGCCAAACACCACATGCTTATCCCAGTAGTATTAGAAGAGTCTGTGGAACTTGCTTTTGGAGAGAAGGGGGCCTTAGAGCATCTTGGGTTGCTAGGCAACCCAAAGATGGGCCAACCCAGTCTTCCCTCCAGATTTTAATCTTTCACGTTTAAGGAATAAACGAAAAAGAAACCAGACATAAAACATGGCTGCAAGACACAAGCCCACCAGCCTTGGCCAAGCTAGAAATGTGTCCCCTTCTCCTTAGATTTACCCTTATGAACTGCTGCTGGTGACCACGAGAGGAAGAAACCGACTGCCCAAGGACGTGGACCGAACCCGCTTAGAGGTACGTCTCTAGAAAACCAAGCTCCTGATCAGCCTTTGGGTCGGACAGGATTCTAAAGTTGCCTAGCCCAACCCAGCTCAGAAGGGGTGGGCTAAATGAATAGACTTTAAGGTCTCATGTCTCAATGAAAAGGCAGAGGCTTGAACCCATTTCCTACACCCAGACTGTTCTGATTTGCCTCCCACCAACCCATTTGTCACTTGTGGTACACAGCAGAAGGGTTTGGCAATGGACTGAGTATAAGGTTCTCAATAGTCATTAGATTGCTGCTATTCAAAGAATGCCAAGAGGGCTTGGGTTGGTTGATGCAGGCTTGCAGAAGGAGGAAGAATTGGATAGCCCTAGAAGGTGGGTAGGATTTGGATGGATGGAGACACAGAGAGAGCATCATGATGGTGGAAACAGCACAGCCAAAGGTGTAGAGGTGGAGCCAGGAAGGGCATCAGCATCAGGTCATCAGGTCATTTGGCACGGAGTGCCAGCCCCTGATTGCTTCTGCTTTTCTCCTTCCTGTGATACTTCCTGGGGCCCGGCTTCTCCTTCTTCTTAGAATACTCTTCCTCCCTCCTCGGGGCCCAGAGCCGAGCTCCAAACCCTCCTTTAGCCCTCCCCTAACCTGCTCCTCTAGCCTGCTTCCTCACCTGTGCCCAGGGTGGAGCTGGAGCACCTCTGGCTCTCATGAGTATCAGATCATCCACTTACCTCTTTCCTCTGCCTGGCCCTGAGTTTCCTCAGGATTGGCTAACACAAGGCCTGAGCTAAGAGAGATGTCAGGAAATGTTTGTGGAAAGTTAGAGAAAACTCGGGTCCCTCGGAAGAGCAATGTGCCCCCTGAACTGATGCTGAGGCAGAGCAGAAGCAGGAGGTGGCGAGTGGACCCCAAAGCTCTGTGAGTCTTTCCAGCACTGGCACACTGACTTAGCAACCTGAGAGTATCTCTTCCAAAGGCCTCCTTTCTCTGTCAGGAGTAGCTGCCGGTGCTGAAGGGGACAGCTCCTGGGCTGCTCCCTGAAGCCCCTGTAAACAGGCAAACATCTCCAGGCCTCCTACACACTCGGGGGCCCAAGAGGCTCACATTTCCTGAGCATCAGAATAGCCCAGGGAGCCTCTGAGCACAGAATCCCTACCTTCATCCAAGTGAACCTCAATCTGGGGAAGGAGTTCAGACATCCATATTTTCTAAACACTCTTAGGAATGTCTGAAATGCAGAGTTGAGGGCACTGGGCTAGGAATCTAACCTCTGCCCAGTTCAGGACCCTAACTGCATCCTCAAAAGTACAAATATTCATTCATCCAAAGTCGATTATAGGCTGAATGCTGGTGGCTCATGCCTGTAATCCTAGCCACTCAGGAGACTGAGATCTTAGGATCTTGCCTGCCCAGGCAGGCAAGTCCATGAGACTCTTATCTCCAATTAACCATCAAAAAGCCAGAAGTAGAGCTGTATTCAAACGGCAGAGCACCAGCCATGAGTGAAAAAGTTAAGGGATAGCACCCAAGCCCTGAGTTCAAACCCTAGTACCAGCATGCACGTGTGCGCACATGCACATGCACGTGCGCGTACACACACACACACACACACACACACACACACACACACACACGAGTTCATTATACAGCACGTAGGTTCATGCAACATATCAGACCTATCAGGAGTATATATCATATGTGAAGAGATAGGTACATAAATAAAGGACACAAGCAAAGAACACATGTTGTAGGTACTGAAGGTCATAAGTAATAAGGGCTAACAAAAAGATAAAAGAAGCTGGTGCTAGTAGCTTGTGCCTATAATCCTAGCTACTCAGGAGGTTGAGATCTGAGAATCACAGTTCAAAGGCATCCTAAACAGGAAAGTTCATGAGGCTCTTATCTCCTATTAAACCCCAGAAAACTGGAAGTGGTGTGGTGGCTCAAAGTGGTAGAGCTCTAGCTTTGAGCAACAAAAGCTCAGAGATAGTGCCCAGGTCTTGAGTTCAAGTCCCACAACCAACAAAAGAAAAGATAAAAGAAGAGCAGAGAAAAGAACTGGGAGTTCCAGGGAGGAGCGATTGGCTGATCAGGACAGGGCTTATCCACTATGTGACATTTTAGCAAAGATTAGAAGTTAGGGAGGGAATTAGCCGCTCTTTCCTACAAAGGAACAACAATCTAGACATAGGGAACAGATAACTTGATGCAAGAGGGAACCTCATTTGCTTGAAGCCAGCAAGAGGGAAATGAATTTGCCATCATAGGAGCACAGAGGATGAAGAGGAGGAGACAGCAAAGGAAATGAGGACCAGATCAGCCCAGGTGATGGCACTTGAAAAGACGATTGTGACGGTTATCAAGAGTGGTCTTTAGTCACGTGACAGGTGCTGTCCAATGGCTGTATACACCCATTCACTCACAGTACTCATTTTCCAGAAGAGGAAACAGGCTGAAAAGGGGTAAATTTAATGTGTCCAAGGTCATACATCTGTGTCTGCCTGCTGAAATACTAGTTCACAGTGATAAGAGGCCAGAGAACTGTTGTGTTACTGTAATAATAATAATAATAATAAATTTCACTGAATGCCCTGAAGTATTAAGTTAGTCTGAATTGGACCCAGAAAGTGGGCAGGCAAGAGGTGCACATGTTTCTCTTGTTATACTTGATTTTAAATTCATTTTGAAAATTTTGAAACTTCCAAAGAAGCCACAAGAATAGTGAAATTAGCCTGGTGCTGGTGGCTTATGCCTGTAATCCTAGCTATTCAGGAGGCTGAGATCTGAGAATGGAAGTTTGAAACCAGCCCAAGAAGGAAAGTCTGTAAGATTCTTATTCTCTCCAATTACCAGCAAAAACCTGGAAGTAAAGATTTAGTTCAAGTGGTAGAGTACCAAGCTTAAGCAAAAAAAGCCAAATAAGCCCTTGAAGCCCTGAGTTCATGCCCCAGAACTGGGGGTGGTGGAGGGGGAAGGGTAGTGAAATGAACATTCATCTACCTTTGACCTAAATACATCAATTGTTAACATTTTACCACATTTTAAAATTCATATACTTCTAAGTCTAAAATCTCTGCCAATGTTTAATATCTTCCAGAGAGGGGAGGATGGACGGAGAGGGGGAGGGAGAGCAGACAAGCCTTCCTAGAGATGTAGAACAATGTCGTATATTACTTGACAAGCTTGTTTTCATATTTAAAAAGTGGTTCTACAAAGAAGAGTGGTAATGTTTTTCAATGACAGCCTTTCAGAGTCTAAGAAGCCAGACACCGGTGGCTAGTGTCTATAGTCCTCGCTACTCAAGAGGCTGAGATCTAGATAATGGCAGTTCAAAGCCAGCCAGGGCAGAAAAGTTCACTAGACTCCATCTTCAACTACCCAGTAAAAATTCAAGCTGGGGGAGTGGCTCAAGTGATAGAGTACCAGCTGTAAGCAAGTCATTGAGAATGTAAGGTCCTGAGTTCAAGACCTGATGCCAGAAAAAAATAGATAGATTGAAGATGGATGGATAGATGGATAGATAGATAGATAGATAGATAGATAGATAGATAGATAGATAGATAGATAGATAGATAGATAGATAGATAGATAGATAGATAGATACCTTAAACCTTGGATATACCTCTTGTATCTCCCAAAGGGGAATAGGATGACATTAAACATACATCTTCTGTAACCAAATGCACAGGATGGCAAAAGCTGAGGTCAACCATAGTGCACAAGGTCTACTTGAGCACCGCCAGTACCCAGCTGGGCTATGGCACAAAGGCCTCTCCAGCCAGAGCAGCTGCAGAGCCCCCTCTGAGCAAACTTCCCTCTCTGCCTTCATCACACAACTCCTTAGAGAGGGAGCATGCAGGGCCTTGGCTGGACGGCCAGCCACTCCCCCCCTCCCACCCACCCCCACCACCACGCTAGCCTGCCTCTCCCATCCTCATGCTGTTCTCTCTCCCTCCCCTCTTTGCCACCCTCTTCAGCGCCACTTGTCCCAAGAAGAGTTCTACCAAGTCTTCGGCATGACCATCTCGGAGTTCGAGCGGCTAGCCCTCTGGAAGAGAAATGAACTGAAGAAGCAAGCCCGGCTGTTCTAGCAGAGACCCTATACATATAGATGCATTTATATAAAGATGTATGTAAATCTACACCGCCACACGGCGTAACCCTCTTGTGTAACGGGACACACTGCCTGCCATGAGACTTGCTTTTCTGTGCTGTCAGGCAAGCCCACATCATTGAAGTATTTTTATGCTCCTTACTTCTCTTTTCTAAGTGCTGTAAGATCAGGAAAGGGATTTGAGGGGACTCTGCCCTTTTACTGAGGGTCCTTTTTATACTGAAACATCTGTCCCAACTTGAGTCCTCCAAGGTCTGACTTTCTTTCCTTGGAATGGTGCCTGGAGAAACGTCTCTGCTCCGCTGCTTGGCTCTCTCCCTATCTCCAGGGCTCCCGAGGATCATGCAGTTCGTGCACGCCCATCAGCCCCACAGGGGCCCTCCCTTGGGAACTCCATGATGATCCACCTCTCCCCTCCCCCAAACCAGTGAGCACCTCTGGGAGCTCATAAAGAATTTTCTCTATATTCCTAAATTGGATCTAAGTGCTCTCCGGGGCAATGTGATTCAAGGCGTGAGCTTCAAATCCACTCATGACACTAGTAGACCCACGTGGGCAGGGCCCTAGCCTCTCAGCTCATCCTTCCCCTCCTCCCACCCTTGATCTTGACCTCTCCCTTGTCCAAATCTAGGACTCATCATAGGAAAAGGAAAAAAAGGCACTTCCTTCCCCTCGACCAACCTCCACCTGGCCCTTGGCCCAGCCTGGACTTGGAGAAACAGGAAAGCAGAGGATGCTAGGAGAGGAGACAGAGCCCAGAGCCAGGCACCTGGAAGCTAGCAGAGGAGCTGAGGTCCTCCTGTCTCTCCGCCTGCTCCCAGTGCCTCTTGACCCTTCCCCCTTTCTAGGAGAGGCCATTGTTGCAGCCGGTACTCTTCAGCCTTATTACAATCTATGTGCCTGACGATCTATACATCACAGGGCTAGTGTTCCCACCACAGTTCCAACCAAGCAACCAGACTCATACTTCACACCACCCTGTTCTGAGAGAATAGGCCACTGCCCAAAGAAAGCTTCCTGGCCCATACCACTGGTCCCTGGCTCAGCACCACAAACAGTGGGCCCCCACCAGTCCTTGGATCTTCCTGCAAAGTTGGCTAGGTCTCATGGTGGAAGCTTCCAGAAGAGTAGTTGCTTAGTAGATTCCAAAATGGAGTGTTGGAGCCAGGTGCTGGTGGCTCACGCCTGTCCTAGCTACTCAGGAGGTTGAGATCTGAGGATTGTGGTCCAAAGACAGCCCAGGCAAGGAAAGTCTGTGAGACTCTTATCTCCAATAACCACCAGAATACCAGAAGTGGCGCTGTGGCTCAAGTAGTAGAGCACTCACCTTGAGCTAAAGAGCTCAGGGACAGCACCCAGGCCCAGAGTTCAAGCCCCACAACCAATTTTTTTTTAAATAGAGTGTCAGCCAGCACTGATCCTGGTCATTCCTGGTTGCCCAGTGGCTCTTTCTTTCCATAGTAAGGATGAGATCATGAACTTCTCTCATCCCTCCACAAAGCTTCAACTGTCAGTTGGCAATGTTTGGGGGTAGCTGCTCCTTCTTGGAGATGCCTTGAATCAGGAGCAGACATGACAAAGGTGACTCTCAAGAGACTGGTGATGGGCTGTGGCATGTATAGAAGTGACATTGATTCAGCAAACCCTCACTACTGAGCACCTGCTGGTCACTGAGCACCCGCTGGACACTGAGCACCTGCTGAACGCTGTGCATGGAGTGGGGTGGGGGAGGGGACACTGGGACAAATCCACACAGGCCCTGGGCTCGGGGCATGACTAGTGAGAGTGGACACTGTAAGGCATGGGCTTAGCCTTGGTGGACACCAAGCAGAGTGTGGCAGGAAAAGACATGAGGAAGGGAATGTGTAAACTACTGGAAGAGTATGTACAATGATGCAGAGCAAGGAATGCTCTCTAGAGGAGACTGCAGCTGAGCAAAAATAGGATGTATCTTTGCAAAACTGGAAGGATATTGCAAGTTGAAAGCATAGCAGGGTGGAGGGACCAGAAGGGAAGTCTAATATGCCCTCATTTAACATGTCAAACCTTCCTGCAACTTCTCTTTTTTGGCCAATGTCTTTCAACTTTCCTGACCCATTAGTCACATGTTGCCAACCAGACACATTGAAACTGCCTCATTGTCACTGGTTAACAACTTGCGAGACTGAAGGGCTTTTGTTATTGTTGTTGGATATTTTTGTTTCCCATAAAAGCACATCATTTCAACCCAAACCCGTGTCCTTCTGTTGTTTCTAGTGGGAGTGGAAATGACTGACATGGAAAGAGGTTGTACTAGGCACATTTTATTTTTCAAAAGCAATCATTTCTTTGACTTCATTGTCTGGGTTGTTTTCTGCCAAATGCAGGGTGTCTCAAGATAGCAGATGTTCCAACCGTAAACAACTTTCACTTTTTAATTTATATATTTTTATTATCTTTAGTTGTACGAAGGTTTCAATTCAACGTGTCCATTTATGAGTACAATGCATCTTGATCAATGCCACCCTTTCCAGTATTCACTTGCTGTGATCAGAAAGAAATAACATGAAGCACCAAGTTCTCTGCTGCAGAATTTATACACATCTCCATTTCACAGATGAGGAAACTGCTTTGAAGAAGATACATGATTACCACCAGTGGTGCTAGGATCAGTTTCGGCAAGTCCCTTTCCCCTGGGAAGAAAATTCACTGGTGGCTCACACCTGTAATAATACTAGCTTCTCAGAGTCTGAAGATCTGAAGAAAGCAGTTCAAAGCCAGCCTGGGCAGGAAAGTTCAGGAGACTCATCTCCAATAAACCAGCATAATAGCCAGAAGTGCAGGTAGAGCTCAAATGGTAGAATACCACCCTTGAGTAAAAAAGCCAAGCGAGAGCTCAAGGTACTGACTTCAAGTACAAAAGAAAAAAAAAAGGCAAGAGAAACACAACAAAACCTACTTTATTAAAAGTGACTTAAGCAATGAGAACACAGGCTTTCTTGTACAGCCAGAAACCCGAGATGCTGATAAAGTCAGCAGCTCTGTGGTGTCATCCAAAGTTCAGATCTGTGACACCTCTTCACATCACCCTTCTCAAAATTCTGGCTTTTGCACGCTGTCAGTGTGTCACCTCATGTCTGCTCTACAGGCTGCTGGGGCTCCCGGCATCATATCCTCCCACAACCACATCAAAACATAGGAAAGAAATTTTCCTTTGCGTGTCTGGTTTAATAAGGAAAAGTTCCCGGAGGTTCTTGGCCCACATTTGCACAGATCCCACTAGCCAAGGACTCTGGTTATGTGCCTGTACCACAGCAAAGGTGAGAAATTGAGTATTGACCATGGTCAGCTCCATAGTGGGAGGTGTGCCCATACTCACAAGGTAAAGAAGAGACAAGAAAAGAATAACCCCTCCGTAAGCAAATGCCCATCTCACAAAACCATTGGCCAACAAGAAAAAAATTTAAAAAATCATGTCCCTTTCCTTGTAGATTCATCATGCACATTGCCAAAGCCCCAAAAAGTCCTGTAGTGCTTTGGTTTAATCCAGGACTTCATCAACTAATTGCTCATAAAGTATTTAATGTTGACTTACTGCATTTCCACCATCTCAGAAGCATGCTTTCTTCACATTAGAACGTCTCTGAAAATGACATGGGGTTGAAAATAACACCTTCCCTTGGCCTCTCATTCTATGGTGTTCACTAAGAACCAGTTCCAGTTGTCACCTCCCCTACAGGTAGGTGACTCCAGTGGACAGAAAGATTCTCAGGGATGTGTCTTTGTCCTCTGTCTACATGTCTACCCAGCAAATAGTTCACTCATTGAGTATTGGCTGCCAGGTGGGTGCACCAAAGACACAGCGGTATGAAAAGCTTTCCTTGTCCATCCAGGCCTGGAGGAGAAACACATTGTACCTAAGTAAACATGGGAAAGGAACAAAAAGGAATTCAGTTGAAATGCCTACTACAGGATGAAAAGCATGTCACCGAGGAGAGTGGTGACACGCATATTCTAGGCACAAAGAACTTGGGCAAGGGCACTGGATGGGCAAGAACGTGGCTTGTTTGAGGAGCTAACAATGCCAGTAGAATGGCATGGGGCAAGTGAAGGGGACACTGAGATTGGCAGGGGCGGGCAGGCAGCCACCACACGTAGGAGGATTTGGAAGGACCGCTTTCATACATTCGGGCTTTGTGGAAATTCCCTGGCTTGCACTGTGCTTATTAGTGTGTTGACAGCAGGAAAGATTGCTCTAAGACTTGCCATCCAGTGTCTGTCCCCCAACAGGAACACTGCCTTCTCCTACAAGTTTATGAGAAATGCAGAATCTAAGGCTCCACCCTGGCCTGCTCCATCATCATCGGTGTAGTAGTAACCCTCTCCGCCATATTCACACAGGAGTGAGGTTTGAGATATTGCACCCTGAACCACCTTTTTTTTAATAAGATTTTTATTGTGAAAATACTGTACAGAGGGGTTACAATCACATGAGCAAGGTAATGAGTACATTTCTTATCAAGCATTGTTGCCTCCTCCTTTGTTTTTCTCCTACCATCCCTTCCCTCCCATCTCCACAACTACATCTCCCCACACCTCCCCCCCTCCTACATTGTAAAGTTCGTTTTTTGACATAGCATCTTGTACATCTCATTGTTGCAATGGGTCGACCTGTATCCCTATTTCAACAATTTATTTTTCCCTTCTGCTCCCCAAATTATATCAACATCAAATACAGTGAAAACAGGGGTTATACCTTGGGGGAGGGATATACAAAGCAACCAAAAAAACACATTGGGCATTTACCCAAATGATCACAAACAAGACTATACTAAAGCTACCAGCACAACTATGCTTATTGCAGCATTATTTACCATAGCTAAGATATGGAACCAATTCAGATGCTCCTCAGTAGATGAATGGATCAAGAAAATGTGGTATATATACACAATGGAATTCTATGCCTCAGAAAGAATGGCATTGCCCCATTTGTTAGGAAATGGAAAGACTTGGAAAAAATTATATTAAGTGAAGTAAGCCAGGCCCAAAGAAACATAGGTCCCATGGATTCCCTTATTTGCAATAACTAGTATATGTCTGAGACAAGCAGAAACGGTCGGATAAGATGATGTTAGGTGAAATGAACCCCAAGATAAGGATTCACTTTTCTTTCTTGCGATTGTTTCTAACATATTTATAAGATATTTCTTAGTTGCTTTGTATGTCCCTCCCCCACGGTACAACCCCTGTTTTCACTGTATTTGATGTTGGTATAATTTGTGGAGGGGAAGGGAAAAAACAAATCGTTTAAATAGGGATACAGGTTGGCCCATTGCAACAATGAGATATACAAGACACTGTCAAAAAATGAACTTTACAATTTAGGCAGGGGGAGGAAAGGATTGTAGTTGTGGAGATGGGAGGGAAGGGATGGTAGGGTAAAAACAAAGGAGTAGGCAACGATGCTTGATAAGAAATGTACTCATTACTTTGCCTATGTAATTGTAACCCCTCTGTACGGTATTTTCACAATAATTTTTTTTAAATTACATGGTAGCTTATAAATACATTAGAAACAATAGCAAGAAAGGAAAAAAACACTGTGTCCTTATCTTGGGGTTCATTTCACTTATTTTATCTGACCTTTTCTGCTTGTCTCAGATATATACTAGTTATTACAAATAAGGGAAACCATGAACCACCTTTCTTCCATGGGCAGACTCCACCCTTTGTGTCAGACTTCCTGAAGCCTTTCCCATGCTATCACCCCATTTGCACACTGGAGGGCGCCCTTACACTCCTAAGGCAGAACACCACTTGGGGGCCACAGCGCTTCACACTACTGTAATGGCTGCACTTTGGAGCCACAGAGAGGCTGAGTGAGTGCCTAGACAGACCAGACAGGCTGGATCTGCTGCTCCAGGAGCCCCTTGCCCACTTTCCTGTACCCACCAGACACAGAGACACAGCCAGAAGCTATGACCCGTATCAGAGTTTTCAGCTGACCGCTGTGTAGAGCCACACATGGAATAGAAGAGCTGCTGTTTAGCACTGCTAGCAACACTCATTGCTAAATTAAATAGCCATGAACTTTGCAGAATTATGGCAACTTCATTAGTGCCCCATGAAGAATGCCTTGGGGCAGGGGCTTCCCATAAGAGTTAGATTAACTGGCACGTGCTACCAGACTCAGGTATGGAGTTATTGGGTGACTAGTTGAGTTAGGAATCTCATAAACTTTTTGTCTGTGCTGGCCTAGAGCCCATGGATCCTCTTGTTCTCAGTCTTCTGAATGGCAAAGATTGCAAGTGCAAGCTACCACACATGGCTGGGAAGATGACCTTAAGTGTATTTCTCAACATCACTAAAAAGCTTAACAATGCCGTGACAAGGCCTACTTACATATGCTCCATGAAGTATGGCCATTAAGAAGTTCTAGTATTGTAAAGTCACTTTCATCAGCAAGAAACAGAAAAGCCACCTTTAGAGAGGTCAAATTGGGAGTCTTCATGGGAGAGCCAGCATCTGCTGGTGAACTCCTGTCTCAAAAACCTGTGGCCCAGCAAAGAGTTTACACAAAGCTTTTAAAGACAAAAACTACATGCCTGTGGTGGAGACCAAGCTGTAACAAAACTGGACCGTACAAGTGGCAGGTACAAGCGGAAATCTCCATTTGGGGAAGTAGCTCAGGAGCCAGCTGAAACCTCCCATATAAGGGAGGTTTATTCCATCTAGGGGAATCTTAGGGGCTACTCAGAGGCAAGTGAACCAAGCCATTTAAGGAGGTAATCAAGGCAGAATCAGAGTATACTCTATGCAAAGCTTTCCTAAAGTTAAACAGCATGATATCTGTAATTTAGTCAATGGCCTCTCTCACCTCTAGGCTTTTCGGCACTGGTTAGAAATCCCCCTTCACCCAGCAAGGCACCAGGATGGCTGTGAGAAGTTACTTAGATTACTTAGACTCAGCATCCTCACTTAACCTGGGGCTCTCAGCAAACCTCAGAGTCTGAAAAAAGATGAAGGCCAGACTCCAACCATCCCATAACAGTCCCTCTTCCCTCCTTACCTGGCCTAGTCAATATACTTAGCACTGGGACACTGGCAAGAGAAATCAAAGGCCATCAGCCATCCCTTATGCTTAATCTTTAAAGTGTGCTATGCCCATAACCTGAAGTACTTCCTTGTCCAAGAGAACTATCCCATTCAAACACCAACTTCATGAGTGAACTTAAATTATAGAGGTAAGTCCTCTAGAGTCTAAAGCAGGAGTATTACAGGTTTGAGGCTAGCCTGAGCTATAGAAACACCCTGTATACTTAATGGTGTTTATGGAATTTTTTTCAATTGATTCATATCTGGTGTTGCTATTGTGTGTGTGTGTGTGTGTGTGTGTGTGTGTGTGCGTGTGTGTGCCAATACTGGGACTTGAACTCCGGACCCAGGTTCTGTCTCTGTGTGTGTGTGTGTGTGTGTGTGTGTGTGTGTGTGTGTGTGTGTGTGTGTGTGTGTGTGCCAGTACTGGGACTCGAACTCCGGACCCAGGTTCTGTCTCTTAGCTTTTTTGGATCAAGGCTGGTGCTCTACCACGTGAGCCACACCTTCATTTCTGGCTTTTTGGTGGTTAATTGGAATAGAATCTCACAGATTTTCCTGCCCAGGCTGGCTTCAAACTGCCATCCTCAGATCTCAACTTCATGAGTCACTAGGATCACAGGTGTGAGCCGCTGGCACCCAGCTAGTGTTGCTATTTCGGTATAAGTGAAACTCGTGGTTGTAGGACTGGTTATACATCTTCCTGCAGATTTACATAAATTTCCTAACTCTCCAAAGGTTTTGAATCCTCCCCTTTGGGACACATGGTGGAATGGATGGTAGTGAGCCGGATGATAGCTCAGCCCCTCATTGTCCTATCATTGGAGAGCCTAAGGAGAGAAAGCTGAAGATGCTGCAGAGAAAAAGGAAACAAGAGTCTGACAATGCAGCTCCCTTAGCCACAGGCCATGCCAGAAGGCCAAGACCCTCAACTACCACTAGTTGCCTCCCCCGGCAGTTCCCACAGTGGTTTCAGGAGCAGAGAACCCACAGAGCATGTCTAGACCTTGCTAAGTCTTCATGGCAACCAGCCCCTGTTCCCCGGGTGCTAGGTTTGCAGAGCCTTTGCTTCCGTGTGTGCTGCACAGGCTGTAGCAGAGACGTGATGAGGCCACGTGGAAGGACTCACGCTTGGACCCAGCCTCCCTGAGCGCTAGCTACTCCATTCACTAGCCAAACTGCGCTGGCCCCCGGGGCCTTAGAAAGCAATTATATTTGGAGACAGGGCTTTTTAAGGAGGTAATTAAATTAAAATGAGACTCTTAGGGTGGGCCTTGATCCAATTTCACTGGTGTTCTTCTTTTTTTGGGGGGGAGTGGGTATTAAACTCAGGGCTTGCTCAAGGCTAATGCTCTACCACTTGAGCCACAGCTCCACTTCTGGATGTTTTGAGGGTTAATTGGAGATAAGAGTCTCACAAACTTTCCTGCCCAGGCTAGTTTTGAACTGAAATGCTCAGATCTCAGCCTTCTGAATAGCTAGAGGAATACGCATGAGGAATAGGCACCCGGCATTTACTGGTGTTCTTGTGAGAGGAGACTGAGACACCTGGAGACAAGAGAGGGCCCATGTGCATCAAGGGTGACCATCTACAACCTGAGGAGCACCTCCCAGAGAACTAATCCCACTGGCAACTAGGTCCTGGACTTCCAACCTCCAGGGCTGCAAGAAAAGATATTCTTGTTGTTCAAGTTCCACAGCCTGTAGTATTTAGTCTGCATGGCAGGCCTAGCAAACTAATACATCAGGCGAAATAAGACTTGCAAACACAAATAAATAGCAGCACTTACCTGACAGAGTGGAAAGGATGGAATGGCATGCTCCAGTGTGGTACCTGGCTGCATTTGGCAGCTCAGCATTTCCCATGTGCTCAGATCATGTGGTTTCTTCGGCCTTGGAGTGCCCTCCGCAGGCCATTTTGAGAACAGCAGGGAGAGAGGCATGTCTTTCTAACCCTTGGAATCTCCAGCTATCAGGGCAGCTCAGGCCTGGAGCTTCCTGGCCTTTTGCCACAGACAGGGAGAGACCACCTAGAAGAAAGCTAAACAGAGGAGGGAAGAGTTGGGAGATGGATAAGATAGCTTGTCAAGATCTAAGCTTCACCCACTAGCGTCCAAGTTTCCCTCTGAGTAGATCAGTTCACCTTTTTGGTTTAAGCTTTTGGTTTGTCATTCTGTCATTTGCCACCAAGAGACTTGTGACAAATACACTGGCTCCCAGAGTGAATTAGCACTGATGGCAGGCTCTCTCTCATGTCCTTTTGCTATGTTCACAATCTAATAGTACGGCCCGCCATGGAATGAGATGGCATGTGAGAATCGCTAGGGAAGCCGAGTGAACAGCACTGATGGAGACAGAGTTTGCCTGGGTCGGTCCTTGAAAAGTTCCACTAGGGGCCTGGACCAACCGCTTCCAGCTTCTAAAGCCCCTCTCTGTGGAAAGACCTCATGTGTGCGGTCTTATCCTCCTGAATCAGGACAAAGTATCCATCTGACCCCGGTCATGGGTCCTTTTTATTTACTTTTTTGTGCCAGTCCTGGGGCATGAACTCAGGTCCTGGGCACTGTCTCTGAGCTTTCTAGGCTAGCATTCTACCACTTGAGCCACAACTCTACTTCTGACTTTTTGGTGATTGATTGGAATAAGAAGATCTCAACCTTCTGAGTAGCTAGGAATGCAGGCATGAGCTACCAGGACCCAACCAATTCGTCCTTTTGGTGAAATAACAGCACTATCTGTTTATATATATACATATATACGTATATATATATATATACATATATATATACATATATGTATGTATACACACACAAATATCACTCCTTAACAGACTGTAGGTAGACGTCTGCTGGTCCTCTCAGGACAGCAGTGTTCTCTCCAAGAAAGAAGGACCTGGTAGAATCAGTCTTCTAGGCCAGTGGTTAGAATTATATTTTTTAAAAAAACAGCAGGGGCATCCTGGCTTTATGGCCAAGACCTTACTATTTCCATAAGCTTCTGGCAATTCTTCAGAGGAAACCTACATCCATAGCATAATAGCATTGACAGTGGGCCAGGCACTTGACTTATCTTCTTCATCCCTGGGATCCTTTCCCATCCTTATTTTACACCTGAGGAAGTTTAACCTTTCATGAGTAATTGATCCAGCTATATATGGCAAGAACCTGAACTTGAACTCAGGGCTGTACTTGGCCACTGCACAATGATCTCCCTAAATACCAAGTGGCCTGTGGAGGAGGCTTACCTATTTGGGTGTAGCACCAAGCAGTATCACAGTTAAGCCTTATAGCCCTCATATATTGGTAGCCCCAAGCTTTCAATGAGAGGTTCAAGGTCATGCTCTTGGCTGTGCAGAGGCAGTTCTGGTTTTCAAAACCAGGTCTGCCTCATGCCAAAGCATTTGTCTTCAGCTGGACACGGGTGGCTCACGCCTGTAATCCTAGCTACTCAGGAGGCTGAGATCTGAGGATCGCGGTTCAAAGCCAGCCCAGGCAGGAAAGACCATGAGACTCCTATCTCCAATAAACCACCAGAAAACCGGAAGTAGCGCTGTAGCTCAAGTGGTAGAGTGCTTGCCTTGAACTGAAGAGCTGAGGGACAGCACCCAGGCCCAGAGTTCAAGCCCCATGACCAAAAAAAAAAAAAAAAGAAAAGAAAAAAGCATTTGTCTTCAAAGTAATGCTCCACACAAGTATTTGCCTTGTG